GGACATCCTCGCTTTCTGAGATGCCTTCGGCGTAACAGGTATCCACATCCCGTGGTTTCCGTTTGGTCATTATGTCACCTTTTATCACATCTGTTTACGCTGCAGCGTTTCTGCATCCTCAAGTGAGTCATCGGAGACCTGTTGTGCCCGTTCGCCTTCAGTAGGCTGCGCTTTTCGCAGCGTCAGTTCCTTTGCCTGACCTTTTAAAACGACCTGTTTGTCGTGACCTTTAGCGACTGCACTCGCTCCCTGATCTGTTACTTGCGCGGAGTCTGGTGACCTCTCGTTTTCCTGTTGACGCCGAAACTCTCCGAACTGCTTATGTTGCTCCTTGGTTTCTTTCTCTTCCTGTTTCTTTTCAGGTTCGCTTTTCGGATAATCTCATTTCGTTGGGCGCGCCGTTCTTTCAACTTTTCAGCGCTACAATACGGTGATGGCTCCTTCCAAATCACCGGACCACTTGCAGTACCATTCTGCTGTGGCTTCGCAGTACTATTCTGCTTCGCAATTCCATTCTGCGCAGGTGGCCCTTTATCCACCTGTGATGGCATCTTATAAGCCATCTCACTCGCAGTGCCATTCTGCGGTGACTTCGCGGTACCATTCCGCGGGAATTTCGCAGTACTATTCTGCGTTCCTCCCTTATCCGGTGGTTTCGGTTCGGGGAGATCAGCAGGCTCACCGGCGCCTACTGATCTTGGTCGTTTCCCTGATCGGCTACTTCCTGCAGGTCCGGGACTTGCTCGTTTTGCCGTCCCTGGCGGGCGCCGTTCGCGTCACCGCCGGCGTTCTGGTCGCCACCACCGTCGTTCCGGTTGGCGCGCCAGCCGCCTCCGTTCCGGTTGCCGTAGCCGCCGCGTCCATTGCCGCGACCTCTTCCGCGGAAGCCTCCTCTGCCGCCTCCGTTGTACCCACCATTTTGGCCACTACCATTCCCGTTACCTTGGTCGCCGCCGCCGCCGTTCTGCTGTTTGAACGCGGCCCAGCGGGCGACCAGGTCGTAGCCGTTCGCTACTGCCTGTCGCCAGCCGCCTCCATCTCGCAGCCGTCGCCATTCCATTGTGGCGAACAAGTTCGGGTTCCGTTCTGGCGGCATACCAGCGAACATGCAGCCCTGTGCGTTGTGGTTTCCCAATCCACAATTCTGGCACAGCTGCACGCCCTGGGCCACCCATCCATCAATTTGGGAGAACTTCCATTCAGTTCTCGGCCCTTGTTGCTGGTAGTTGCCCTGACGGTTATTGGGCTGGAAGTTGCCGTTTCGTTGGCCTCCGTTTTGGTTACCATTACCATTTCCGTATCCGGTTGATCTTCTTTGTTGCTGCTGCGGCCCCCCTACGTTCAGGGGGTTCGGCATAGCCGGAGCCACATTCTGAACTGGCCTCATCTGTGCAGACGCTTGTATCGCGGCCACCATCGCATATGAGACGGGCTGTCCCGTTTGACTGTCGATAAAGGTCGTTTCTTTCTGAACCGGAGCCGGCGTTCGTTGTTGGACCGGGGCAGGCACATATTGCCTCGGAGTCGATTCGACCTGGCCCGAACGGATGGTGATGGGATCCTGTTGATTTCGGTTTCCTTGGTTGACCTTATACTTGTCATCTCCAGCTGCCCAGTATCGGAAGAAGTCCTTTATGTCTGTCGGCGTTTTCAAGTTTCGTTGGACCCGCAACGCTTTTGACAACTCGATGTCCGTCTTACATCCTTCAATTAGGAATGCGACTGCTTGCTTCTCATTGATGATTCCCTTCGCTTTGTAAATCATCATAGCCTGGTAATACGGATCGAGTGTCTCTCTTCCAACCTGGAATTTTCTTCCCATGGCCTCTCGTAAGCCAAGGACTTCTTCATCGCGGTCGCCAAATTGATCTCTGAACTTGTCCATCCATTCGGTGGTGGTGTAGACTTTGTGTTCGGCATCTTCGATATACCGTTCCCCTTCGAACCAGGATTTCGCTGGGCCGCGGACAGCGCTCGCGATATCGATCAAGATCTGATCGTCGGTGAGCTCAAACGTCCGTTGCGTGTCCCTTACCAGCCGTGTCCACCCTCTCACTGCATCGCGGTCGCCATTAAAGGTCGCGAGCGTTGCCTTCCGAGTCATAGACTTCAGCGACCGGGCCAAGTCCTCGTCGCGGTTTGGTGCACGTTTCTTCGTTTCTACCTCCGTTCCTTCCTCCACTTCTTCGTTTCGATTATCCCTGAAATATCCGTCACCATGTTTGTGGACGATAGGGCGTTCATCCAGGTTCTCGTTATCCCTGGCTCTCGGATTCGGTTGTCGAACAAACGGAGGCCAGTCATCTCCGCTCGTCTGCTGCTGATCTGAGGGAGGTTGGTGATTCTCGCCGTCTTTTTTAGTTTCCTGGTCCTTTTTTCAAAACCACCAGTGCCACCACCCGTTCGCGGCGGCATCTGGAAATGGAAACTCCCGCCCCTTTCACGTGCCTTACTGTAAGTGGGCGGGCGTGTTTCGGTTGTGTCCCTTCTCACACCGGACCCGGACTGATGAAGCAGTTCTTCCCGGTGTTTATTCGTTATCCGGAGTCCCTTGTTTTCATCGTCGAGTCGCTTGACCCGATCGATTAACTCCGCTTTCTCTGCTTTCAACTGGTCCCTTTCTTGCTTGACCCTGTGGGCATAATTCTCAAGCTTGATCAATCGGCCATCCTTCACTTTATTAACATCTTTCAATTGATCCAGCTGTTGTTCCAGTTCGGTATATGCGTCGGCTGCGCACTTCAACTGACCTTTCAGCATGGTCGCCTCATCTTCGTGCGACATAGCTGTTGTCGTCATGCCAAGCAGCTCTGTCGACAATCGTAGTTCTTTCGTTTCCAAACTCTTCTTTTCTATTTCCAAGGCTGCGACCTTTATGTCGATGAGACGGGCTTCTTCTTTCCATCTTAAGCCTTGTGCAGCAACTTTCTTTATATCTTCTTTCAACTTTTCATTCTCGTCCTTGACCTTTTTAACGTCTTCCTTGGTTTCCTCAATTTTCTTTTTCAATCGTTCGCCTTCGGTGGCTGTGAGATCTGTTAGATCTTTTGCCACTTTAATGGCCTCATCGGCTCGTTCCTGATGGGCTTGTGATTCACTTTGAAAGGTTTAAATGTTTTCATCCCGTAGCTTCAGGTCCTTCCTGAGCTGATGGATTTCATTTGTTCCGGTTGTCAATCGCTGTGTAAGCTCCGTCAGTTTCTTTGCATGTTCATCCCGTTTCGATTCGGCTTCGATGACCTTTTGCTTCAACTCATCACATCGATCCCTCAATTCGGCTAAGTGCCGTGACCTTTCGGTTGTTTCTTCGGACATACTTTCGTTAAGGTCACTCACCGCCATTATTCCTTCCATTTCTCTGTCGTCAGCGATTCTCCGATTCTTCTGCAATTTGCTTTTGGCGTTCATATCAAATTTTCCATTCATCGGCTGCACTTTCAAGGACGCCCTGGTGTTGTTCCAATTCATATATTCGCGTCTCAAGCGATCCTAACCGATTCTGATATTCCTGTTTTTTCTGGAGGACTTGACCTTCCTTTCCTCCAGTGACCTTTCCAAATCTCAGATGCGCATTTTCAAGTCGAACGTAGGACTGTTTGGAGATGGGGATCGTACATTAACGATCTTCCCTATCTGATAACGTTCAATCAGATGTTCGGGAATATCTTTGAACGGGGTCAGTCCCTGTGATCGGTCAGCTTCCTTCATTGCCGTGTGGAATGACATATGCATTGTCGTGTCGTCGCTAGTGAAATACGATTCGTTTTCGCGGCTGAAGTTTTGGCTTCGCATCATTTCTTCAAAGGTCATCGGGCTCTCGAAAAGATCGTCAAGTGTGATTTCTTCGTTGAGTGAAAGGTCACCCAAGCTGTGCTCATTCAGTTCCGTTTCCATGTTTTCCTTTTTGTCCAGTTTAGCAGGATTCACCTTCTTATCTTTCTCCGTTTCAACAGGATTGAGTTCCACATCCTTCTGTGATGTGGGTTCCATTTCTTCCGGTTGATCAGTGGACCTTCCTTCTGTGGTGATCTCCTGTTGGTTCACTTCGCTACCTCCCGCCACAGGCGCGGGGATGCGCTTCTGATCATCGCTGGAACTTTCCTGAGCGGACACTGCTTCGAGTGCCTTTTGGTACGTTGCATCAAACCCTCGTGAATCCTTCTTCACGGGGACTTTTGGTGCTCTGGTGTTCCGTTCATGTGCGACTGGACGTGTGTATGGGTGTAAGTCTTTTTTGTACAGGTCTGATGCGCCTTGCTGCGACCCGCGGGAGCTACGGCTCCCCTGACTACTGTTGGATGTTGGTTCGACTGGTTCTTTATCCATTGTGATCGTATAGTTTAGATGCACCTGTTTGCTTTGCTCATACACACGTTATAATACGGTTGATCAGATCCCTAAAGGTCACTTTCTGTTTGAGTAATTTCGTTCAAGTCCCTTCTAAAGGTCACTTTCTGGAGGAAAACTTCGAGAGGTTTGCCCTCAAAAATCACTTTTCCAAGAAAAACTTCGAAGGTAACTACAGTTTAGACTGATGACTTAATTTAAAATGCGGACTGCTTGATCGGTTCAACTGTCAAAGGTCACTTCTGAGGTCAATGGAATCAAACTCGAATCTCAAAGGTCACTTTTTGACTCAAAAGTTCAATCTCAGATCTCAAAGGTCACTTTTTGCACAATTCGCTTTTAATGAAATCAGTTCCTTCTTGCTGAAACTAGGTCAGTTCGATCGAAAATTATTCGATTATATCGTTCACTAGCTTATAATTAGGTAGCTAGCTCATTTTAACCGGTTAAAATTTCGACCAATCACAGCACGGATAACTGACCAATCACATGCGCCCACTTAAAATTTTGACCAGCCTGACGTCACGGTCAACGACCAGACATGCGCATCGTGTGCAAAAGTTCAACCCCTGTCTACGCTCAGCTCAATCTGACCAATGAAAATTGCGCCTTATTGCGCTTAGCCAATCAGGTGGCGGATAACGGTTTTTTACCTGTTTACCTTTCCGTCTGCACAAGGAAATGATCCAGATGATCCAGATTCGTCTCCCCGCTTGTATGCTGCCAACCGGACGGTTGTGACTCTCCTATCCGTTAGTCCCGTCCGCCCTCGGCAGCTCTTACAACCGTTTTGGTGGAGCTTATGGGCAAGATCCGTGCACCTCCTTCGGCGCTGCCTTTCTCCGCAGGCTTCTCGGCTCTTGTGCCCAACAGCCTCGCCCCCGTTTGGGGTTCTCGCTGCCTAGCAGTGGCTGCAACGCCGGTACTCCGTTTGGAGTAACCTTCGCCGCCACCAGCTGCCGTCTGACTTGCACAGCACAGAACAAGTATGAGTAAGTTCTCCGTTTGGAGATGCTCACTCAATACTGTCACTGACGCTGGGTCCGCGCAATGAGGAGCTCGTTCTTATCCAACGATTTGAAGAACCAGTGCCTTACTGGTTTTAACTGGAGCAATATCGCTCCAGATCAGGTATGGCCGTTCGCCAGACAAATCACAATGGCCGTTTGCCAACAGATAAACAACTCAGAACCGTCTGTTCACGGCTCTGCTACCATATCACAGTGGATTCAGGAAGAATCCAGGACAGTAGCCCAGACTGACAGGACTCTGTGGAGTGTGTAACGTTACGTACTATGGGATAAAAGCACAACGCTCGCCATCCAGTATACGTAATACACTTTTATTAGCAGTTTCGATCGTGAACCAAAACACACTCAAAACACACCGATATTCAATACGCTCAGAGAGCCACATTCTACCCGCTCTCAACAATACAAACTGCACGGCGCATAGTGAACATCATGAACAGCTGCCGTCAGCCAATCAGAAGAGAGACACGCCACAGACGGTAATTCCGTGGGGAAATCCCCAGTGCGTAGTGCAACGAAGCACTCGGGAACCCGCCTAGCGTCACGTAGGTGGACGCAGGGCAGCCATCGCCTCACAGTAATTAACAAGTGTTTGCGATGGTCGTTCGGTTAGAAACCCGCGAATTATAGCTTCCATAAACCGATCGTCTTCCGGTTTTTTTCTTTACCTGATTTAAGAGTACTTCACACAAAGGAGGGCAGCCTTCACAAAGTACTTGAAATTTAAAAAAAAAGCTTGGACTGTTTTTTTGCAATGTATTGTTGAAAAACTTTCACGAAACACTTTAGCTACAGGCACGCCGCACTCGTAACTACTCGATCCACTGCGCCATTATAAACGTAGCTGCAGCGTCGATATACAAATAAAAGTGAATAAACCTAGAGCCCAGTTTCAAGAAATACTTGTTAAATCAAATTAAAAATAAATGAATTTAAATTACCGTATATGCCCAGGCCGCACATTTGCGATGATACCATTTGCAGACATGCAGCGCACTGGCTGGTGTGGCGTGGCTTAAATAAGTGTTTTGTCACTGGTTTTTTACCGCAACAATTGAAAGAAAGTGGTTAAAGCTTTTTTTGAAAATTTTAAATACTGCATTTACGCGGCATTAAGTTATAGAGAAATTCCCGGGACCGCCCGCATCAGGCGTCGGCTCCAATGAAGCCAAAGGCACCTGGGGATTTCTCTGTCCCTTAATATCGTATGGATACGGTACTCTTTAAAGGGTGAGAACTACTTCATCAGGCGAAGAAAAAAGCCGGAAGGAAAAACCGGTTTGTGGGGACCGCATTTCACGACTGCCCAACCGAACAACCGCCCATTCACTTCCTTTCCAAACCGAGGTGACCGTACGAGTACTACGATTTACTTTATATTTACTTGTTGCTGGTAGGCTTTATTACAGTTGCCGCACATTCCCGATAATTTTGTCGCAGAATAAACCTACGAAGTGATATTATTCGAAAACATTGCTTGATATGAAAAGACGAACAGACACAAACAAGCGAGGGTATACATTATGTGCGCCGCCGCCATGCGCATTTTATGCAGTTGTAAGAACTGCCGTTAGAAATGTTGAAATAAATCTAACAGCGACAGTTTGTTTTTAAAACATTAACAAACAAGTGGTATTTTAAAATTAATAGCGGCCTTGCAGTAAGTAGTATACAACGAGTCTTGCGGGATTATTACGTATCCGACGACATCGCACGGGGGAGGTTCTGTGGTGGTTCCGGAGTAGCGTTCCAGATCCTCAAATACAACCTGTTTTGTTTGAATGGTTAGGCTTTAACAATTTGGCTTTAACATTGTAGAACAAAGTGACGGTGGACAAAACTAATTGCAAACTGGTATGGGATAAGCAACAAATTATTCGTAGACAAAACACCGATGCCACTTGACATTTTTTGAGAGTGAAAGTATGAATTGAGTCAGGTTTCTGTATTCCTATAACTTGATAACCTCATTAACCTGTACCTATATAGTATAGTTTATATTTTTATGTACAGATAATCGGTAGTACTTACTTAATTAGGAGCTACTTGTTGCTATATCTGGAGCTTTGACGTCAGAATTAATTTTGGTATCTTTGTACTACAGTATTTTGATTTACTTTCATGCACGAACGAATTGTTTACCTGCGATCCTGCATAGTAAAAGGGTTTTCTTCGGCAGCCGTAAAGTTATTATCCGTTCCCGCTGACGTCTCTGAAGTGGTCGGCATTGCGGTGACTTGCCAGAAAGCTAAGCACACTGTCCAAAATATAAACAAAAATTTTGTTTTCCCACAATGCATTGTAAGCACTGCTCAGTGATTATTGCTGAAAGTTGCACTCAGTTCTTCTTTACGTGATTTGTGATAAATGCACCGAAGTGGCTATGCGCAGGAGTTTCGTACTGCGGTGCTGTACCGGGCATCCTACGTTACATAGCAACCACAGTATTAAATGTATGATCGTACTTACACGACACCGCATCGTACTTGCACGTACGATGTGTTAAGTTAAATTTTTTTTTTACCTTCCCTGAAATCTGTTTGGCCCCTGGGGGCCGGGGGGTTCTCTCACCGCAATTTTATTGATATCAGCATGTGCAAAACATGAGCTAGGATGATTGAAGACGCTGAGAACCTCAACTTCTAAATTTTACCTTGCAGCAGCTATGGACTATCCCTTTGTACGGCATTTGTATCTTATTCTTGCAGTCGGTGAAGTAAAGACTGCGTTGGTGCTCGTACAATTTGCCACCATAATACAGGGTCGTCGCGTCGAGTGTGTGCGGTTGCATAAAATAAATTCAGATTTATTTCTGTAAGCAGTTTTTTTTCATATCCACTTTGCACGTTCCTTGTGCAGCTTTCCATTTCGGATTCATCGAAAATCAAACCGGAATCTTTTTACGTGTCACGGTGTCAGTAAGGGCAGGGTGGAGCTTGAGGAGAGAGAGTAGCGGGCATTTTTAGGGGGTTCATAACGCCCATCTAAAAACTTTAAGAAGTGATATTTTTGCATGGACTTTTTTTTAAAAATTAGTGACTGACCCAAAAGGTGTTCTCTATGGGGAAACAAAAGATAAGAGGCATTATTGAAAAACTATGTTATCGCTTGTCAGCTATCGGACGATTACAATCTTTTAAATATTATAAACTAAACACGATTATTTCGTGGATAGCAGTGTGTTTTTTTCGGAAAAATGGAAAGTAATGCTTTGATTCCCGTTGCCTGCTCTTCAGCTTTTTGCAGCAAAACTCTATTAAGAAATTTGCTATATACTGTACAAAGAACTAGCAAAAAATAAAATAAAAATTGTGTGCTACCCTGGTAGCTGTTTGCCCGCACTTGGCGCGACCACCCTGTACCATCGAATCGGCTAGTTCACTGGTGTAGAACTGGTGCACTTAGTACGTAATTAGCACGGCAAAAGAACATGCTGACTGGTTTCTGTGTTAGTTTCTTAGTAAAATTCTTTGCATTGATTTACGTTACTCAAATCCTTAAAAACGTTAAACGGTTTTGCAAAAGACAAAAAGTAATTACTTTTTGTGAGTTGCAATAAAAGCGATTTTTGCGATAAAAGGGTTAAAATTGGTACATAACATCGCACTTCGCTCGAGTGAAGCCTTTGTTTTCTGGTATTTTATTTAATTTTTAAAATCGACAGTTGTTTACCTTATTAATCGAAAGTTGTTCACCGTATTTCCGAATATGCTAGAAAGTAAATGTTATAATCATTTATTGCTAAACCATGTTCCAGAAAGCGCGACATTCGCCCGACATTCGTTGTAATCTAAAGTTACATAGGAGTTTTTGCATTAAAACTTCGCGTGTCAACTTCGCGCCTCGCGCGGATTTGGCACCTTCAATAAACTCTGAACATGATACAAGCACAAGGTCTATACTATGCGCGGCGCTTCAAATTTTCAGGTCTCAAAAACCAAAACGTTTTTTGTGAATTGCAACGCCAATAGACCGGCCTTGATCCAGAACTGGCTCACATGATTTGCGTTGTCAAACGTTCGGCCAGAATCGTGCTGACACGATGCCGCAAGCGATCCAACCCACTTTCAAGGTGACTTTGAAACTTTGAAACGTTTCGCCTGGAAACAATACATAACATAGATTATTAGGCACACGCAGATAGCTAAAAATACTTATTTTCGCATTTTTTTTTCGCATTTTCGTGCCATACCAAGTGCTGGCAGTAAAGCTCTTCCTTTCAGTTTATTTAATCAGTTTGAAATCTTCGCTTGAATATTATTCGCAGTCACAAAAATGTTGAATGTTGCAGAGCACGTATACTCAATTGTTAATAAACCATGCTCCAAAAAGTGGTTTTCCAAAAAATTGTTATAATATGTTGTCTGTATTTTTTATAAAATTTCTAGAAATTTCTGTAATATGTATTAACGTGAGGCTACTTTGCATTGGACTACACCTTTTCTTTGGACACATGAAACATCGGTGTTTTTTCCTTTTAGGGAAGTGACCCAGTACATTGTACTAAATTTGTTTACCTTTACGGTGCGCTTTCAAGCCAGTTTTAGAAGTCCTTTTTGGCATTGTGTACTGTATTCAAATAATTTGTATAGAAAGGTGTGAACTCAGTTTGAACGCGCACGGAATTACGAGGGTAGCAAATATCAAAATAATTTAAATTAATTTAGGTGTACCAAACGTCCCATTATCAAACGTTTTCCTCATAATGTTGCATGTACTGAAAAGGTACTCATAATGTTGCATGTACTGATGTTGCATGTTGTAAGTCCTCATAATGTTGCATGTTGTTTTCCTCTAACACCGATTCAGACCTTTATTGTTTTTTCGAGTTTTTAAAATGAGCATTATAACATTTTTGAAATTCATTTTAAAATTTGAAAGCATTGCTAGAACAGTGGATCGGTGTAAGAACGTTTATTTTTTAACTTCTGCTACCGTAAACTGGGAATCGTTTCAACTACA